GGCACAGGCATTGCGCCCAGCAAGCAGAGCTAGCCGCCCGGCGGCCCGCCGGCGCCCCCCCCCGGCATTACCATCAGTATGTGTTGTTATTTTTTATAAAATAAACGGATTATCTGTGGTACTTCAAATAAACACATGTGAAGACTTTTTATTACTTTTTTTTGCAAATCAACAGGTGGTGCCAAAGCCAACGAAAGGGCAGTACAACAAATTATCATTTGTAATCTCAACCAATATACTTGGTTGTCACCTGGCCCATATTCATTTTCCTGTTATTAGACTAACCTCGACCCCATCTCAGAAAGGAAAAGTTTGATGTGGCCCCCACTCGAAAAAGGTATTGGGACCGCTGGTGTCGCACCACAGGCATATTTGAGAGCATGACCCATTAGGCGGCCTTCGGTAAGGGAGCGACTCAGAAGGCTGGGGCTGACATATGTTACTCAGAAGCTCGTGACGAGCCGAGTCCGTTAGACACCAAAATTTGTGACTTTCAGAAATTTTTTTGGAAATTATAAAACAGAATTTAACCGTGTCCCCCGGCAGCATTTGAGAGACCGCCCATGGCGGCCCTTCAGGAATGGGAGGACCTCGTCAGAAGGCTGGGGAGCTGACATATGTATTTCAGCGTTGACGAAGCCGAAGTCTGTAGACACAAAACTTGTGACTTTGGGACAAACTTTTCCAGTTGTGACATTCACACTAGTCTTAATGGTGTGGACACTCAAGCATATGAGAGAAATGACCATGGCGGGACCCGCCGGCGCCCCCCCACCCCCGGAAGGCATGCGCCCAGCAAAGCAGAGCATAGCCGCCCGCCAGGCCCGCCGGCTCCCCCCTCCCCGGCACAGGCATTTGCGCCCAGCAAGCAGAGCTTGCCGGCCCGGCGGGCCGGCGCCCCTCCCGGCATTACCATTCAAGTTTGTGTTTTTACTTTCTATAAATTTAAATTGGAGTATCTGTTGGTACTTCAAAATGACAACATGTGAAGACTTTTTATTACTTTTTTTTGCAAATCAACAGGTGGTGCCAAAAGCCAAACGAAGGGCAGCTACAACATTATTCATTGTAATCTCCACAATAATACTGGTTGTCACCTGGCCCATATTCATTTCCTGTATAGACTAACCTCGGCCCCCCATCTCAGAAAGGAAAGTTGATTGGCCCCACTGAAAAAGGTTTGGGGACGCTGGTTGTGGCACCACAGCATATGAGAGATGAACACCATGGCGGCCCTTCGGAAGGGAGGACTCAGAAGGCTGGGGCTGACATATGTTTACTCGCGTGACGAGCCGAGTCCGTAGACACCATAATTTGTGGACTTCGAGAAAAATTTTTGGAAATTATATAAACACAGAATTTAACCGTTTCCCCGGTTGCATATGAGAGTCCGCCCATGGCGGCCCTTTCGGAAGGGAGCGACTCAGAGGCTGGGCTGACATATGTTACTCAGGCGTGGCCGAGCCGAGTCCGTAGACACCAAACTTGTGGATTTTGGACAAACTTTTCCGTTGTGACATTCACACTAGTCTTATATGGTGTGGCACCTCAGCATATGAGAGATGACCCATGGCGGCCCTTCTGGGAAGGGAGGACTCAGAAGGCTGGGGCTGACATATGTTACTCAGGCGTGACGAGCCGAGTCCGTAGACACCCAAATTTGTGGACTTTTTGAACAAAATTTTTCGTTCGCAGCAAGCGGGCCTTGAGACGTTTAACGAGGAATTCCCTTCCAAGGGAGCGACTTAGAAGCCTGGGGCTGACATATGTTACTCAGCGTGACGAGCCGAGTCCGTAGACACCAAATTTGTGACTTTCGAGAACATTTTTTGGAAATTATTAAAACACAGAATTTAACCGTGTCCCCCGGCGCATATCAGAGACGCCCATGGCGGCCTTCGGAAGGGAGCGACTCAGAAGGTGTGCCTGACATATGTTTACTCAGCGTGATGAGCCAAGTCCGTAGACACCAAACTTGTGGACTTTTGGACAAACTTTTTCCGTTTGTGACATTCACACTAGTCTTAATGTGTGTTGCACCTCAGCATATGAGAGATGACCCAATGGCGGCCTTCGGAAGGAGCGAATCAGAAGGCTGGGGCTGACATATGTTACATCAGCGTGACGAGCCGATCCGTAGACACCCCAATTTGTGACTTTTTGACACAAAATTTTCGTCGCAGCAAGCGGTAGGCCTCGGAGACGTTTAACGAGGCATCCCTTCCGAATAGCGGAGCGACTTAAAAGCTGGGCTGAATATGTTACTCAGCGTGACGAGCCAGTCCGTTAGACACCAAATTTGTGGATTTTGAAAAATTTTTGGGGAAATTTATTAAAACACAGAATTTAACCATGTCCCCCGGCAGCATATAGAGGACCGCCCATGGCGGCCCTTCGGAAGGAGCGACTCAGAAGGCTTGGGGCTGACATATGTTACTCGAGCGTGGCGAGCCGAGGTCCGTAGACACCAAATTTGTGGACTTTCCAGAAATTTTTTTTTGGAAATTATTAAACAGAATTTAACGTTGTCCCCGGCAGCATATGACGACGCCATGGCGGCCCTTCGGAAGAGGCGACTCAGAAGGCTTGGGGCTGACATATGTTATTCAGCGTGACGAAGCCGAGTTCTGTAGACACCAAACTTGTGGACTTTGGACAAACTTTTCCGTTGGTGCATTCACACTAGTCTTAATGGTGTGGCACCTCAGCATATGCAGAAATGACCCATGGCGCACGCCCGCCGGCGCCCCCCCCCCGGCACAAGCATTGCGCCCAGCAAGCAGAGCTAGCCGCCGCCGGCCCGCCGGTCCCCCCCTCCCCCGGCTACAGGCATTGCGTCCCCAGCAAGCAGGCTTGCCCCCCGTGCGGCCGCCGGCGCCCCTCCCGGATTCCATCAGTTTGTGTTTTACTTTCTATAAAATAATGGAGTATCTGTGGTACTTCAAATGAACACATGTGAAGACTTTTTATTACTTTTTTTTGCAAATCAACAGGTGGTGCCAAAGCCAACTGAAGGGCAGCTACAACAAATTAATCATTGTAATCTCCACCAATAATACTGGTGTCACCCTGGCCCATATCATTTCCTGTTATAGACTAACCGCCCCATCTCAGAAAGGAAAGTTGATGTGGCCCCACTGAAAAGGTTTGGGGACCGTTGGCTGGCACCACGCATATGAGAGAGCCATTGACCCATGGCGGCCCTTGCGGAAGGGACCGAGCGACTCAGAAGGCTGGGGTGACATATGTTTACTCAGCGTACGACGAGTCCGTAGACACCAATATTGTGGACTTTCGAGAGAAAATTTTTGGAAATTATTAAAACACAGAATTTAACCGTTTCCCCCGGTTGCATATGAGAGTCCGCCCATGGCGGCCCTTCGGAAGGGAGCGACTCAGAAGGCTGGGCTGACATATGTTACTCAGCGTGACGAGCCGAGTCCGTAGACACCAAACTTTGTGGACTTTGGACAAACTTTTCCGTTGTGACATTCACACTTAGTCTTAATGGGTGTGGCACCTCAGCATATGAGAGATGACCCATGGCGGCCCTTCGGAAGGGAGCGACTCAGAAGGCTGGGGCTGACATATTTTACTCAGCGTGACGAGCCGAGTCCATAGACACCCAATTATGGACTTTCTGACAAAATTTTCGTTGCAGCAAGCGGGGCCTCGGAGCGTTTAACGCGGGCATCCCTTCCGAAGGGAACGCGACTTAGAAGCCTGGGGCTGACATGTTACTCCGGGTGATGAGAACGAGTCCGTAGACACCAAATTTATGGACTTTGAGAAATTTCTTTTTGGAAATTTATTAAACAGAATTTAACCGTGTGTCCCCGGCAGCATATGAGAGACCGCCCATGGCGGACACCAAACTTGTGGACTTTGGGACCAAAACAACTTTTCCGCTCTTGCCTGACTGTTGCTGTGAAATTCACATAAGTTCTTAAGATGGCTACCTGTGGCACTCTTCTACCCCCTGCCGAGTGGCACCTCAAGCTCATGAAATGAGAATGACCCATGGCGGCGGCCGGCGGCTACCCCCTCTGCCGGACCAGAGCGGGCGCGCGCCCCACCCCCCCCCCCCAAGGACAGCATTGCGCCCAGCAAGCAGAGCTAGCCGCCCGGCGGCCCGCCGGCGCCCCCCCCCGGCATTACCATCAGTATGTGTTGTTATTTTTTATAAAATAAACGGATTATCTGTGGTACTTCAAATAAACACATGTGAAGACTTTTTATTACTTTTTTTTGCAAATCAACAGGTGGTGCCAAAGCCAAACGAAGGGCAGCTACAACAAATTATCATTGTAATCTCCACAATAATACTGGTTGTCACCCTGGCCCATATCATTTCCTGTTATAGACTAACCTCGGCCCCCCATCTCAGAAAGGAAAGTTGATGTGGCCCCCACTGAAAAAAGTTTGGGGACCGCTGGCTTATATTAACATTTTAAGTGTTGCTAGTACTTTAAATCCCACTGAGAATCAACATCCCAATTTGCAGATCTGTGCAGCTATAGTGGGCAGATGTTTGACTTGCATGGCAGTGAGTAAACAATACAAAAAAGCAAACTGTATTACTTGTTATACCACTAATATCCATGTTAACATAACTTGTTTTACATCCTCAAACAAACATAAAACAGCCACGTAATTTAAAAGCTTAACATATGAGTTTATTCTACTGGATTTATTAATCTATAATTTAGTGCCAGTGCATGTGGTAAAAGTATAATGTGCTATTAATTAACACTGTTTCTGAGGACTGGACATGTGAGTGATCGTGTGTGCAAATACTCTGGGACTGACCCATATGCAAAGTATTCACTTAACTCCTGACACAGTCTGTGGGCCAGCTCTCTCTTCCCACAGCCTTGAGGACCTGTCAGCACCAGCATAGGATAGGGAGAGTCTGCACTGGGCAAAGTACTGCTTGGAGAGACACACACACACACAGACACACACACGCACACATGCACACAAACACAGATTCAAACTCAGTTACCCCCCTTACCAAGGATGAACAAGACTTACAGTATGTATGATAAACCATGAAGCCAGAGCACAAACTTCTCCGTTCTTGAAAGCTACTCCTACAGTCAATATAAACAGGAACCTTGTGGGCAATATGGATGTGCTCTTTCTCGAAGCATAGAGGAGAATGTTAAATTGACTCTAGCTGCAGCATTTTATTTGCTGATGATGGATGTTTTCAAAAAAGTGCTGATGCATGAGCTAATTTTTTTTCTTTTAGAGAGAAGATAATATGAGCAATACAGGAACACTGCAGATAAAATCCTGCTGAATCCTGTTTGAAAACAACTTTTGTGGTAGTTGTTTTTACAAGATATGTATGATTATGACTTATCATCCCATCTGGATCATATTTAAACCTTTACATTAAGAATGCACTTCCGAAATACTGCTTAGGCTCAAATTTTCCTATCTCCTTATGATTATGTTGTTTTATTATTTGTAGTATTATTTGTACCAACCTGTCATAGAGTATCTGAGGCTGCATCAGCTGATACACCAGGTGGGTCATGTGATTTCTGGCTGCCACCACATCCATAGGAGGATCATATTTGTTCACTGATGACACCTGGGATTTAAGGTTAGTAACTGTTATTTTAAGCTAGTCCACAAACAAGGAATATACATATACAATATACACCGCATTAAACCAGTTGCAATATTTCTAGTTTAGAATGATTATGATGTTTATTCATACCTTCTCTTCAGGAGTGACTTTCTCTTGGTCCAGCACAGTAAGATGTTGAAGGAGGAAAACAACTGACAGTCTGTAGTCCTGTTGCTCCTACCAATAACATTCACATGGTACATATTACACAAAAACATATGGTGGAGCCATAATGAAAGCACATACATTTTCTGTGATGTATCATCAAACTGAATACACTAAAGAAAGGCACCTGGGTAAAATACCACCAACTTTAAGAGGCAATATACAGATGGAAGTCATCATAGAAGTTCAAATGCATACAGGCTGGTACAGAATGCATGACGGTAGATGCAGATAAAGTTGATCTCTGCTGTGCATGGTACTGCTCTCATGGTAGTAGTCTGTGTTCAGTACAGGTTTGGGTTACCTGCACAGGGTTTCCCAGCAGATTGAGGTCCCTCAATAGGAGAAGATCATGAATGTGCTTGCACTCCTGAATTTCAGTAATCTGATAAAAACGACAACATAAAATCATGCAGTGTAGTAGTTCATTTGTAGTTATTAAAATCATAAACTTGTTGAGGCTGAAGATTCATTCTCTAACTTGTCAACAACTATTTTGTCAAAGTGGAATCTTGTTGTTATATAAGAGCTTGCTCATATTGTTCCTCATTTGTGTCATTTACTGCTTGTATATGTGATGGTGCGGTTTAACTCATTCACCTAGACCAGAACTTCCAAACTAGCTAGTCTACAGGTATACATGGCAGGGTGACCTAAAATAGTGACAGGTTTTTTATGCTAAAACAGCTATGCATCCTATTGAGATATCTTCAAACAACACTAAATGCATACCTACTCACACATTGTGACAATATGTGCTTCAACATTTATATGAACTTCCAGTTGTAAAACTGAAAATTCCCTGTATCACAGTGCTCCTTTTTGTTAATTCATAGGGCAGGCTATTCCTATTTTGAGTAAATTTATGGTGCAAATATCCATTTGTTTTTGAACATTAATCTCATTAATTTATAGTTTAATCCCATGTGAGATTTAGACTTAACTACTGCATTTCTGCCATTAACAAGTTTTTTTCAGATCAGTACCAGGTTTTTCTCGAGGTTGATGGAGCCCAGTAGGTGGAGGTTCTGGAGACCAGAAAGACTGGTGATGCGGTTCAGAGACAAGTCAAGAACCTGCAGACTCCTCAGATTCTCCAACCCTTCTATCCTCTCCAGCTGGTTGCCCCTCTAGACAGACAGAAAACAGGACAATTAGTGAGGCAAGTACATGATATTCATGCATACATAAGTGGCTTCCCACCACCACTTCTACTTTATATCCTCTCAATGATTCCCACTAATAAATATTTAGGACATGTCATGGTTGCTTTGCATGGTGCCTGAACTTTCTTTCCCCTCAGTACTGAGTTGAGTGGCAGGCCTGCCTCTCTCTGCTAAATCCTGATAGGTGAGGACTGACAGCCAAACAGCTGGCGAGGTGCTAGCGCAGCACGCTAACCAACTAAAGAACCAGACGTGGGAACTCCTCCCTTGTCAGGGTCCCCAGGCTGCCTCTCACTAAAGTTGTTATCTATCTGGCCACACCTCGCCCTGCTCTTGCCAAGTATGTTGCCTGGCAGAGGGCTGCTGTCAGTGGGGGTGGGTGACTGCGCTGGTCCCTTGAAGCTCTGGGTCGGTGCTGTGATGGGCTGGGAAACAGGTTGGCTGACAGGGCCGTGCTGTTTAGGGAGGCAGCATGTGAGGAAAAGAGGTCAGGGATGGGATTAGATGGATGCTGGATGGACAAGGTATGTATGAGTGTGTGTGTGTCCTGAACTTGGTCCAGGCTCACTCAAACACCAGCAGCTGGTCCCAAAGCAAAGCTACAGACAGGGGCAGACACAGCCAGACCGATGGCTGCTGACAATGAGGAAACACTGATAAAGGACAGAACACGCATGTGCTCACACATGCACACACACACAAGCAAAGAGAGAGAGTGAGAGTGCGAGAGAGAGAGAGAGAGAGAGAGAAGACGAGAAAAGGCCTGCTGTTGGACCATATGTTGATTCTCGAACGGGGGGCCAGGGTTTTACTGAATGTGAATATTCAGCCAAAAACAGAGACATAAAGAAAAGACAGAGGGGACAGAAAAGAGAGATGAACAGAACCAGGTGAAATTGAGTATACATGAGGTATAATACACACAACAAGGAAGTACAACTCCAAATTAGCGCGAACAGTGTTTGTGTATACAGTACATGAAGGGAAACAACCTCCTGTAAAACAATGCCATCCAAAGAAAAATTAAATTTCTGTTAAAATTGCATATATGTACTGTAAGTCTGTGCTTGTACATACTGTTAATATGAATGTTAATGTGTGAACATGCACCTGTTCATCATATTTCTGACTGTAACAGAGAAGAACCTACAAGGGAGAGATGTGTGAGCAGCAGACTGTCCAAGCCACTGATCCTTGAGATCTTGTTGTTTGCCAGGCTGAGATGAGTGAGTTTGCAGCATTGCTCAAGACCAATGATCTCCTTGAAGCTGTTGTCTGAGACATGGCAATGTTAAGAGTGATACACAAGAGAAAATGCAGGTGAATAGAATGCATTTGTTGACAGATATTATCATATACAGGCAAAGAAGAAGGTGAATGTAAATATTGCTCAGTAAGGATACAGTCCAGATCCAGTTTACTAAGAGATGAATAGGCTGATAAATCCTTCATTTTTGTCATACGGTTATGGGAGAAATTGACCTCCTGAAAAAAAAGCAGCACACTATTAACAAAAGTCTTAAGTACATCTCACTAAAGAAATTCTTTGGCTAAATCTATAGAGTATGTGACAGAATTTTCAATTCAGTAAAGTTCACTGTCATTCAAGGGCAGTTAATGCCTTGTAAGCATATTCAAAGTGACTACAGATGGGCTATGGAAATCCAGGCCTATCTTGAGGGAATAGCACGAGAGAGTGAAGCCCAAGCCACCAATCAAATGTTGTCTTATCCTGTCAGCTCAAGGTCCCGCTTTACCTTTAGGTTCTTGGGTGGCTGGAATCCAAAGAAGTTAGAAATTTCATTGTGAGAAGCATCCAGGATGACGAGGTAGGGCATGTTGCTCACACAGGATAAATCTAGTAAATGGGAAAAGTTAAAGTAAACGACCACAGCTTAAATGCAGCAAGAGAAAGTAAAAAATATTAAAATGTAAATAAATCAGGTCTTATTATATCCTTTTGCAAAATAGTCCAACTCATATAAAAGTCTGTAGGAGTAAAGGAGAGTAAAGAGATGCTGGTTATAACTAAAAGTCACCTTTAATTTTGTTGTGTGGCACCTCCAGCTTTTGAAGATGGACATATTTGCACAAAACAGAGATGTCACAGAGATTGTGACTCTAGATAGAGAAAAATAAAACATTGGTTAAAGAAAATTTGTCTCAAAATGAAACTGCAAAGAGACACTGTGAATGTAAACAGATTTCTCAGGAATTGCTTTGTGTTGGTAAATCAGATAGTAAACACACTTGCAAGCCATATAATGACATTTACAAATGCTGTCTGTGTAGGCATGTGTCTTACAGGCAGCGACAGGTGGTGGTACAAGTGCTGCAGCCCAGTGCCAAAACGTCCAAGTTGGGTTACACAGCTGGAAACCAGCTCAGCAGTTAAAACACCATTCTTCTGTAGGCACACAAATTAAATGTACTATTTTATTAGAATCGTGAAGCTAGCGTGTGGAGGCTTTGCAGTTTTGCATAGCATATAGCATGAGGCTACTATAAGCATCATCTAGAGCTCATAGCGTCCCCTAAAAGCACACATGTACATATTCATGCAGGACGCACAAGCACGCACAGAGATTATGCTTAAGGAGGCACACTTAAATTGATGGTAATGCGTCTATTACAAATTGCAAATAATCAACCATTTGACCTTGCTGTGTTGTTTTACTTCCCCAGATCTCTTGAACAAGGTTACCTGCTTTACCTGTTGCATAACGGAACAAATACGGAGGTTTATTCAAACTGCTTCACTGATATGCAGTCACTATGCCTTTTCGAACTTATTCAACTTTGGTACAATGACACATTAGCTTGCATTTTTGTCAAGTTGAAAACAATGAATGAAAGACACTGAAACAAAAAAGTTTAAGAATGACGTAATACAACACGAGCTTACACAGTTTTACCAGCTAAAATATCGTACTACTTACCTCCATCTCTCTGCTTTCTTCTAGCTCACTGCAGCTGAGAGCCTCTGCTAAGGGAGCGTCAGCTACGGACCCTTGGGGGCAGCAGCTAGGCGACGCTGAGGAAAACTGTTGACTCGTTGTTTCCTTCATTATTTCAAGAAGACAATTCGGCGACGGGGGACTAAAGACTGACTGATAAGCAGTAAATGTCAGGGATTTGTGATAAAAAAAAGTCTAAATATCCGTGTTCAAGCTAGCTAACAAGTTAGCTTTCACATGAAGCGTCCACCGCTGTCGCTTAGCAGCAAGTGCGAGGTAAATGGAATTGTGGGTGGTGTAGTTTTACTGTGAGCATCTCGATATCTTAGTTTAAACTCCACCGGTATTTAAGGAGAAGGGGAAAACTTAAAACTCAGGAACGTGAGAAATATACAAATCCAAATCCTGGCATGGAGGTGGGTGTTAAAAGAGTTAATTCAGAAGGTCAGGAGGGAAAAACACCTCCACGATGCGTCGTACACCTTTGCTGTGTGTTTGAATGGCAGTAGACAAAGAGCAGCAGGTTAATTATCATTGAAACACCTGTGTAGATTTAGCTAAACCATAGGACACGTGGGTAACACATTAACAGTTCACATTAACCTTTTTAAAGCTTTACTTTGCATCCTCTAAGGAAAGAAAATGCATAAAACCTGGGTGACACAATTGGGGCACCTTTATTAAAGTTTACTAAAACCAAGCTACGATTTTAACATCTTTCTATGCTTTCAATGATTTATCATAATCTTGTTTCCTATTTAATACCCAACATGACCACATACATTTGGGGGGTATTTTAACAGACACAGTCCAAGAGCAGATGGAAAATGAGAAGTTTGCATTTCAGTTAAAAAATTTAAATTTGAGAATGTAAGTGAATTTCAGTGGTGGGACGACCCTTTTATATGTATTTGAATTGTGCTTTACAGCTCCATGTCATTAGACAAAATAGATTTCATAACCCAGAGATAGTTTGCAAATATCACACTGTGCTAGAAAGACTGCATGCATGGACTTATGCCCACAACCACACAAGCCTTCAGATGGTATGTTGTCTGTATTTATTTTTCTCATTCCAGTACGCCGCACTTAAACTTGTCATGTTTCAAACCATGTCATACAACACATCACACCTGTCAGGGCAAAGTACATCCTCAAGTGTTGGTTTTGGATTGGTCTCACTCATATGATACATGGTGGTAACATCTCTACAACATCTACTGCAGCAAGACAGTGATGGACTGTACTGTAATGTGTGGAAGAGGGTCACTGTGTGTATGAAGTGCTGTCAGATGTACTTCCCCCAGTGGAAAATGTGACTGTTTTGCAACCACACGAGGACAAAAAACAGTGTACAAAATACACAAGACAAGATTGGGATTGGATGGTTTATTTTTTCAGTATATTAGTGTATGCACTGGCAGATCATGTGTGCTTAATTTAGAGTAGACAAACATTTCAGAGCATTTATGAGATGACATTTAACAACCAGGGGAGCAAGAAAGATGTTTAAACTTGTTCAAGACTAACACAGTTTGATGTATAGAATTTCATACAGTCTTACCTGAAACATAACATTAGTCTCATAGAACAGATGTGCAAAATAAAGGTCCATAGGAAAGAAAAAGAAACATGAAATCGAACCTTTATTACATTTTACTTATTTCACTCATGAATAAAAAGCGTGAATAGCAGGAGTGGTTCTCACTCACTCTACATATATGGAGTATGGCCAGTACATAAGCCTTCTGGACTTTTGTGGTATGTGTGTGGTAATTGTATAATAGTATCTGTGTGTGACATGATACACTCAGTTAACATTGTATTAAAGTTCCCCATGTATAACATTTCAAAAGTAGCTCTGCAGTGAATGGCTAAATGAGCAGATTTTAGATTTCACAGTGGTGTAGTGGTAGACAAACCCCTTAGCAGCTCCACTGTTGTTTTCCCATCAATCCCAGCCTATGTGTCATTATGATGGATTGCTCTGTGGGCTTCAGGGCCCACTGTATTGACAAGGCTCCCATTCCCCTCTCCTCCTCTCGTTAAGTACTTCTCTCCCAAGTTAATGAACTAAAAACAGGGAGGGTTGCAGGGAGGGGAATGATTTGTGATGGTCTCTGGAGTTCATGTGTATAGTTCATTTTAAATGACTTAAGCATATGTAGTGGGGATGACAAAATAAAGATTCAAAATTGCATTGTTTAAATTTATAGAGCTAGTAAGACTGATGAAATGTATTCCCACACACATGCCTTAATTTAAAAAGTGCAAGTCATTCCATTGTGGCTTGCTGGACTTGAAATATTGCATTTGAAATAAACCTTGTCCCCATTTTATGAACGGATGAATATGCAATCAGCCAAAATATCTTCATTACTGGGTTTGTCTCTTCTGTCCAATTTGTAAGAAATGTTAAATGACTAACAACTTTCCATACTACCCGCAAAAGTTTACTGCACAAACCATGAGAAAAAAGACAGATAAACAGATTTTTAACAGCCATAGATATGATACAATTCTCAGCGAGGGAATTCTTCGGGGACCAACCCAAATTGGCAGCAGGCGGAAGATGTGGCCTCATTCAGACAGTCTAATCTGGCATCTGTTATTGCAGACAGAATCAGTGGGCCCATGGGGCTGCCAGGAGAGGAGAGATAGAGGTGTAATTGAGAGCAGCAGTTTAGATCTAATAGGAAAATGAGATGAGATTGGGCCTAAGTTCGGGTGAGTGTCCAAGACAATCGCCTTTTATCTGGAGCTGGAGTCATGGTGAGTGGGGTACTGTTAAAGTCGAGCGTACTACATTTGGGTCTTTTAAAAAGTGGAAATTGACTATATAGGTTACCTTATGGCACAGACACAGAGGGAGCTAGTTTGTGTTTGTGTTAGTTGTCACCTCACTTCCCAATTAGAGTGAGTCACTGCTACATAGACCCACTGTATGATTCATCAGGCAAGATGACACAACAGATTTCACACAAATTATGATGTAAAGGTGTATGTCTAAAGAAAACATGTATTTCAGTGTTTTCTAACCAAATTCTCAAATATCCTCTGTCCTGTGAGTTTTTCCCCATCATTCCTTACTCCTGTATACATGACCAAATTAAATTCCACGTGTCTGTGCTAGACAGATTTGAAGGATTTGAAGAAGAAAACATAGAACACAGGTTATTTGAAGGGTTAATGCACTGTTATTGTCTCTCATTGGCCATCTTTCTCTGAATTTCGGGCAACTCAACCCCTCCCTCTGAACCCTGTCCTGACCTGTTACACTGTGGTGATCTTCTTGTCCTTGGTGGCCTGTTTGATGGCGGCCTGTTCACAGATGATCTCCTTCAGCCGCTGCAGCCGAGTGTTTTGAGTGCTCAGGTCCCCTACGCCTGTCTGGCTGCGATGCAGTAAGGACAGGGCGTTGATGTACTCCAGCTCCGTGTAGCGAACACCCTGGTCCACCACCAGGTTCAGCAGCTCATCTGCAGTGTTGTACAGCATCTCATAGTACTGCCTGGAAGGAGGGATAGGAAGAATGAAGAGAGAGAGAGAAAATGACAAGAGGTTATGCATGAAGTAAATCAGTGGAGAAAGAAAGAGAGTAAAGGATAGACAACAGAGGGGGAAGCAGGGGAAAGAAAGAAAAAAGTATACTTTATATTCCTCTGTTTTGCATTATTCCAGTGGAGAATCAAAACAAGCCACAACAACAAAAGGAAACACAAAAGTCAAACTAACTGCTGTTGCTGTCAAGCTTAATTTTCTCAAAAAGGACTTCAAGGACCTCACCCCGCCACCGCCGCCGGGAGCTGACAGTAGAGGGAAAACATTCACTGGCTACAAACCACTGAGACCGTTTTAATGAGACACTGTTGACAGAGCCCAAAGAAGGGAGAGGTGTGTAAAATTAAGAGGTCTTTAACCAGGACCTAATGCAACAATGGGCCATTTGACAAAAGACCGTGAAGTACATACTGATAAAGGAGGAGCACAAAGGAGAGTGAGTATTGTTGAACTACACACATTCCTCCTGCTGACTAACACATAAGACATAAAGGTCAGACATGCCAGACTGAAGAGAGGAGAGACTGTGACTGTATTTGATTTTTATAAACCAAATATTTAGAGGTGGACCTCCTGTGTATGTGAGCATAGGCTGTATAACTCCTTGGCATCAACTCACTAAGGAGAACACAATATTTGGCCATAAATATGGATTTTAGGAGGAGGGTAACTTTTCATAAACACAATTTACACATGCCTGTGTGAAGAGGAGAGGAGAGGCTGAAAGGAAGGTAATGCACAGGAGTGTTGGGATGCAGTGCTGACCATTATTCTTTGCTTGGGGGCAAAACAGGTCAAATACCTTAGAGAGTGCATGTGTGCTATGCTCTCAAATACACACCAAAATGCAGGCACTCATTAGAATAGACTTCACCACTATCTGCCCCAGGCTGTGGGAAAAATCCTGTTCTCTAAAGATACACCATGTTACGCTCCCGTACAGTAGTTGTAGATACAGTCAGAGCAAGAGGGCAGCAGGGGATGTATGTCACATACTGTTTCAAGACATTTATGTTTAATATTAGAAAATGAATTCATTAAAGAAAAAGAAGAAGAATAAATAGAAAACCTAAAGGACCATCCTACTGTTTGTTTATAATTTTTGTTCCTGAGACAAATCATGTGTTATTTAGTTCACACAAAACAACTTGGTTCTTTTTGTCACATCACAATGTTTTTTTTTCCCACTTTTTCTGACCACACTTGAATCATGCTGTACAGATGATTAGATATGTAGATGTATTTTTCCTGCCGTCATAAACAGCTATTGGTTTCCATTAATTTCTGTACAATATGAAAGTCAATGAAGTGACTCTGGAAAGATGCTTGATTTGTGTAATTCATCACAGTGAATTGATGGTAATATTTATTGAAATGGATAGAAACCAATGAAGACCTGGAATGGCTCCCTATGTAACAAGGGAAGGAACTGAATATATTTGTTCTTCTTCAGCTCTACTTTTTTCCCTTGCAGGCAAAGGAAGCTTCCTTTACAAGCATAAACTGGCCACCTTGGACAAGGGCAAAGGCCATTCACTCAGCAGCAGTGGCTCCTGCTGCTTTGTGAGGGCAGCAGTTCAGCGAGGAGAGATAATTGTAGCACTGACATTGTTAGGCTGAAGAAAGGCCTTGGAGGTGCTGTGACTGAGAAAAAAAGTTAGGTCCACCTGTTTTCAATTTTTTCTTTGTGTGACAGCTGAGAAAGAGACATCCATTAAAGAATCCAGAGAGAGAGAGAGAGAGTGTTAAGCTCTCTGCTGTGCCAGAGGATGTTGAAAGTAAACGGATTCAAATCTGTCTGATATGGCACAGTAAAAAGACACTTTGGTAAGAAAAGATATTTTTATCTCATTTGTTTAGCTCCACCACCCATCCAAGACCCATTCCCTTCTTGAGATGATCATTGTCGATGCTAACGAGGCCTTAATGAGCACTCAGGGAGCTTCTGTTCCAAGGTGTTTTATGTGCTGTCATTCTGGAGGTTCAACAATGGAGAAAGACCTGGAAAGAGTAATGAAGGGGTAGAATATATGCGATGGAGATAGAGTGACAGAAATAGAGAAGGGAAGAGTGATGACAAAAGAGAAGAGTGAGGAATGGAGGTGTATAATATCTGTTTTTTGGCCTTCCCCTGACAAGTAATGCCCTTGGTCATCAGAGCATTTGCATTCTGCTCATCCTGCTCTCAATTTCTCTCCAAGGTCTTGTTCATTTTTCCATCCCTGAGCTCATTCCATGAAAAAGCTTGTCAATATTGATGAGGGTCACATTGGTTTACTCCTTAACTGCGGGGGGGTGGGGGCCAGAAGGGAGGCAAAAAGCGGGAAAAAAAATCTGGGTCCCACTTGTGGTTTTATCTCACAATGAAATGCACAATGTATTTGTGTTTGTCTTTCTAGCTGATAAATGTCTGAATGTGAGTGCCTTTGAACGTGTCTCTGCTTTGTATGTTGTTTAAGTGTGGTGAATTTACCTCAGAAACACAGCAAAAAACCAGCTCCAAAGAATTACTGTTTCATTCCCTAGACCCTGATTGACTGCACGCTTGAGGCAAATCACCTTGTCATATGATCTAATGGGAAAAATACATATAACAACAAAAATCACACATTTCTTTTGTTGAAGGAAGGAGCTTTGAACAGAAGGCTTCCCTCTTTCAAATACCCATCCTCAGCTCTCAATGGGAAGCAGTTCAGAGGAAAGGAACTGTCGATTTTGAACAGAGCAATAAACAAGAGTAGAAATTGTACCTGACTACCTCGTTCTAACTTTCTCAACGGGCATAATGATTGCAAATCTCTGTAGATTATGTGTGTAAAGTATTTGTGTATATAATTTAGTTTTTTCTTTTTTTTTTTTTTTTACTATTCTTCAGTTACGTGTATGGTACGTGTCCAAAAATATGCTGGTTCGGTTGATTAGAGTGTTTGTGAGTGTGTCTGTGTAAGCAAATTGTGCAGGATTCTTCGGCCCGTCGCCCAGTGTGAGCTGGGACAGGGTGTGGCTAAAATGATGGATATAAATTCAAAACCTAAAAACTGTTATCAGCAAGAACTATCTCCGAGTTCTTGTTGTTGATTTTGTGTAGGCTGGTTAACTGAGAAGTTTTTAGGCTCAGCTCCCTCTTTCAATTAATAAAAGCCTTCTGGTAGGCTGGTAAGTTATGCACACAGTGGGAAATGCCTGCTGAAAACTGAAATTATAACTGTGACCACTTTGACAGAAACTGAGTGACATTTTCCTCCAGTCTAAAGAACAATTTGTCTGATAAAGTAGTAAAAGTAGCTGGAAAGCTTCGGAACCCATCTGTTGATGCAGCAGCCAGCAGGAGAAAATTAAAAAATACCTCATCAGCGCTATAAAACATGGCTTAACTACAGTATAATAGCAACTATAATTTACTTGGCAATGATGCATTTAGGAAAAATCCCACGCAGGATTTGTTAAAAGCAGATTGACTGATGCTCATGTATAACTCATGACAGTTGTCCTTTCTATAACGTCTAATATTAAAGCATAAAAGCTGCATCCACAGGAAGACAGTGTGCTAGACTGTCAGCTGGTTGTTAGTGTGTGTGTTTGTGTGTTCATGTCTGAGTCATGAGAACAGCTGGCAATCTCGCCTCTGTTTAGCTCAAAGGGGAGGGGGCTGGTTTAGAAAGAGAAAGTGTAAGGTGTGTTTAGTGTAACTGTGTGTGTGTGTGTGTGTGTGTGTGTGTGTGTGTGTGTGTGTGTGTGTGTGTGTGTGTGTGTGTGTGTGTTGTGTGTGCCTGATTGATGTATGTTAGTGTGTACTGAAAACACTTACAGCTCATTACACAAGCAGTTGGAAAGCCATTTACCAAACTGGGTAAGGGCTGTTAATAAGATTAAAATCTCTCGGCAGCCCACCATCAAGAAAGAACCCCTAGTGACACACAACCTAACACACAAAAACACACACAAACACTTCTTCACGTGTTAGAAGAAGTTAATGAAACCAGCATTCTTTTTTTTTCTTGCAATACTTAAGCGAATTGTTGTTTTGATTGCCCCGTCCCTTAAGTCTTTCTCTATTTATGGCTCTCAGCTTCCTTCTGTCTCCCTCCCTCTGCACACACACACACACACACACACACACACACACACACACACACACACACACACACACACACACACTAATTTTACCAATTTCCACCTGCTTCCTCCAGAAGTCTCGTCTATAACAGCAGTGCTTTAGTAATCAGCTTGTGAGTGTGTATGGTATGTGTGCGTCAGCATGCCTCCATGGTGCGCTTTCTATTAAATTTTAATTAGCCGCCCCCTCCCTTTCCGCGAATACAAAGAATATTAAGTAAATTTATGATGCGTGGATGCAGCAGAGGACAGACAGATATGTATGTCAATGGTACAAGAGTGAGAGAGGATGAGGAGGAAAGGGGGGGGGGGGGGCAAAACGACACAAAGAGAGAAGAAAAGCGAGAGAAAGACAAGAATCAGCACAATTAATTTCCCCTCATTTCCACTGTGTACAATATTAAGGCCATTACAGGCTGCTGCTGTCAGCGCATTTGGAACAACGCATTAGTTTGTGGGGGGAGAGGAGAGATGAGGAAGGAAGAGGAGGAGAGGGGATGGGGGAGTCTTTGGATGACCCCCTCATCAACTAGGACTGAGGCTTGTGTTACTGACACCAACAACAGGGCAACATGCCTCCTGTTCTCTCCTTTTTTGTCTCAGTCTCACTGGTGTCAACACTGATATCAACTGCACATTTTAAGTGTGGATGTGAGGTCACTGATAAAAAGCCTGGTAAGGGGCTGTATGGCATAAAGTTAAAGACAACTGTCTGTTAGTGCTCACCCTTTTTGTGATCCCTAATTCTAAAGGTTAATATAGCCAATCACATGATATAGGTGATTGGCAGTTTATGTCAGATGACTTAGCAACCATAAAATAGTGATTTGACTG